AGTCTTTTTCTCACATTGAAATTGAATGAGGGTTGACTTAGGGTTTTAGAGTTGACTTTGAGGAAGCTTCATAGGAACGTGCAGAGGTGGGAGGGTGAGTGAATGAGTGTGTGTTTGGTTGATAGAAGTGGGGCTTTTTGGGGGCTTTGGGTGGTTGCTCAAATTGTACATAAATTGTTAAAATTGATCATACAAAATCATTCATTCATAACATGTCCCCTTCTATGCTTTCAAACTGCCCCCACCTCAGCCATGACAGCAAAAAGGACTCACTTCTTCATTGTTCATTCTCTCTTTTGCCATCTATTCATTTACTGTTCATTCAACCACATGCAACAGGGGGTATTGGTTTCATCATGTGTGTATTGTTTGTTTATTTATTTATTTTTGTCTGTTTTTATAATATTTTAAAATTTTCATTGTCTGTTTCTTTTGATATTTCTTTTTGGGTTATTGTGTTAGTGCATGTACCAACCCTTTGGTGGAGCTCAATGAATGAATGATGGGAAAGGCAAAGGGGGGCTCTTTTTTTTTGTGTGGCAGTTGGGGAGTTGGTTTGTTTTTTTAATAAGTCTTGGGGACCTTGAAAAGTGGAATAATAACAAAAATAATAATAATAGACCATTGGGTAGAGTCACAGTTACCATAATTTTTCTTCACCCACCTGCCCCCCCCCCTCTCACACCATACAAAAGCCTCATACTCATTGCATTATAAAAATAAATAACTAAATATCATATATATATATATATATATATATATATATACTTAAAAATCAGAGACAGAGATCAACTTTTTTGAAGATAAGTTTGAAGAGAGAAATGCACTTAATCAAGCACTAGTTCATCATCTTGAATTTCATTCAAGAGAACTGAACACAAGCTAATAAATATGCAAGCATACATATTTGTGTGTTTATTAAATGGTGCCATATGGAGCTTCTTCTAGTAATATTTGACTTCTGGTGGAATGTTGCAATCAAACTGGGAGTTATGGTGTGAAAACGATGGAGCCATTGCTCCTCCTGGGTTTCTATTCTTTCTATTATAATACATGAATAAATAAATAAATAAATACATTTTTTAAAAAAATGGGATATAAATTTTGAAGTGAAGGGTGGAAGATAGATAAATGAGACGTGGACTGGTTTGGTGATGAATGGGTTTTTATTTGCTTTGCACTAACTGAGACAGTTCCTTTTGATACTTCATCCATCCATATACACCCATCCAAAGCAAAGGCCCCAACCTCTCTTTAGCCTCTTTACTTCTTTTTTTTCTCTCTCAAAACTGATGTAAGCATGTATGAATATATTAATATATTAATAAATAAATGAAGAAGTAAAGAAACAAATGGAGCACCATGACATTTAAAGTTAGTTGGGGTTCCTGCTACACAACACACATTTGCCGAAATTTCATTCATCCTTTGCGTACACATCCACTGAAATAATGGATGAAATTAGGGCACCAGCATGCTGCCCCTTTGGTTTTAGAATGGGATGTTCTAGAATAGAGTCTAAAACAGATGCAGACACTGAAGGTTGAGACCCAACACCCACTGCAGGTTGAAAAAATAACAAACAAGTACTACTACAACAACAACAACAACAATAATAATAATTAGAATAATAATAATAATAATAATACCTGTCAGGATGGGTCTGTATTTAATTTGTTGACCAGACTGAAGAGTATTGATCTCAAAAGGAACAAATTATATAAGGAGTTACAAAAGTATTTAAATGGAATTAATAAAAAAATAAAAAAACAATTGAAAAAAGAAAGAAAATGAAGCTGACCTAAAGGTGGATTCCATTTGTCTACTATTTCAACAAGAAGATAACAAAAGTATATAAATGCCAATAAAAAAAAAACACCTATTAAATTCCAAAAAGAGAGAAAAGGATAATAAATAATGAACATAAAGATATCTAAAGAAGAAAAATGGCCAACTGCACTTGGACAATTATTTCGTTCATCATTTTTTCTATATTTAGATGTTTTGACTTTCTGAAAATGCAAATGTTTCAGATGTTATTCACTGCTTGTGGCCATGTGGATTAGCTACCGAAATGAATTAATTTTCATGAGGTGAATTTTGACCATGAAAAGAATTGGAATTGAATAATTTGGAACCTCTCTTAAGCCTAAAGAACACTTAAACAACACACACACACACACATAAAAGAGCATGGTCTTGGGATCATTGAGGGTGGAGTAGCCAATGAGACTTGGGTCAAGCTATTTGTCATGAGGCCATATTCATTGAATGTAGTTAGAAATAAATAAATAAATAAATAAATAAATAAATAAACAAACAAACAATTTTTTTCTCTCTATATATATAGTATGTATAATTTGAGTTTGTGAGGATAATATTGAATATTTAACATCATAGATGCACTCTATATATTCACTTATTTATTATGTTTCTTTTATTTTAAATTAACATGAAACACACTTCTGAGTAAAACACAAAGCATATTTTGTAGTTTAATGTTGAAAACTGTGTTATAGTACATCCCATCTTTTATTTTTTTCTCTATTGCGATTTTATACCATTTTGCATAAGAGTTTTAGCAAAACTAATTTTGATTAGAATTAATTTAAATGTAATTCCTTTGGTTTTGCTTTCAGAAATTTTAATACAAAATTTCCGAAATATAATCAAAAGATCAAGCAATCTTTCTAGCATACATTTAAAACAATAATGGAACTCTCTAGTTTTAATATTGTATCAGTTGGACATTTTGTTTCACATTCCTTTCCATACATTTTCTATTTGGTTTTTCTTCAAAAAGAGTTGAAACTCAACTCTACTTTTATGTATGTATGTTTGTATATGTATAATGTGCCTTTTAAAATACTTGATGAAATTTAGGTTATGTAAGTGAGAAATAATAATATTAATAATAATACATGTATATATACTTCCTTCCTTCTTGTCTCGTGTTATTTATTTTCTAAATAAATAAATACATTAAAATAAAATGTAAAACCTGGTATTTAGATTGATGTAGCAACTATGTGTCAAGATTAAAATAAAATAAAATTACAATATTGTCAAAGCTAACATTTGAGGGTTAAAAATTTCATCTTCAATCCATCCTATTATGGTGTTATGAAAAAATTAGTAATTATCTTTATGTAAGATAATTTTAAAAGAATAAAGACCATTAAATAACAGATATCAAAAACAGAAATTTAGTTATGTACATAATGTTTTAAGTTTTTTATATAAAGTTAGGAATAATTCAAAACAGTGATTATATAAAGTATTAATTATATATATTTAAAGTTAAGAGTAAAAATATTTTTGAAATTTAATTAATTATTTATTTGTCTTATTAGATTTTTGGATATGAAAAGTTTTGATTTATTAAAAATACAAGAATGCGTTTTGAACTATAGTACTCAGGTTTTAAAGCCATAGAATAACAGAAACATTATTCAAAAAATTAAATTTAAAAAATATTCGTAATATATGAATATATTATTGAAGTCTATTATTTTGAGAAATAAATAAATAATAAATTTTTATGGCAAACATATGAATAATCCATGTAATTTTCAAATCTTAGTTTTAGTTTAAAATACAAGATATAGTTTGCTAAGTGGTGTAGAAGGTTGAAAATTTTAGCACAATATTTGTCTATATTTGACTATATTTGACAATATTTGATTTTTTCCCCCTATTTTCTAAACTAAAACAACATGTAGATGTGTTCTATTTAATCCTAAATAGAGATGAAAATAATGCGCTTAACATCACAAATAAATAAGAAAGGGGTCACTAAAGAAAAGGCTACATTGCAGGTGCAAAAAGGGTCAATAAGTTGAATAGTGCAATAGATTTTTAAAGAACTTTGTTGTGAGATGTGACCAATGAGCCTAACAATACACTTTGGTGTGGCAATAGTAGCTTTTTATTAATGATTGCATACTTAGAAATACCATGATTTTGACAAAGAGTTGACATTGATATGAATTATTGAATGCCCATCAACAACAAAAAGGTATATTTATGAAGAGAACCCTTGTGGATTTTCCATGTACTTTGTGGTATTTCTACACACATGAATGACAAGTGGGTTCCTTTAACAATGGTGCTTGTGGATATGAGGTAATATTTGAGCCTCATATCTGAGAAATTATATTAAAAAAAATGTATTGATCTCATTTTAAAACCACGATGCAATTTGATGCATGTTGAAATTAAGCATTAAAGCATGAGTAAAATAAAATAAAATAAAAACTCGACAATGTCCTCTGAGCCAAGGTGGATTAACACGCTTTTATTCATTTCACCTTTGTAAGATGTTTTCCTGCTAAATTAGACTTCGTAGAATCACCACTGATGACAGCATTGTAAGTATGCAGGCAGATAAATTGCAATTAATGGATACCAAATAAAAAGGACAAGATGGAAAAAGCAGCCAATTTGGAACTAATTGCTGGGCGGACGTGCACATAATTTTTTCTAATTATGGTCCAAACATTCAAGCCAACTTAGCACCTCAGCTATGAGAAATCCTATAAACAAAAGCAGCGGCAACGCTTAAAGCGAACACTGTTGGTAGGAGACAAAGAGGTACCATCAAAGCCTGCGGGGAATAAATCCGAGAAAGTCCGCTCCCTGCTTGCTTATTCAATTGTGCGGACTCCGCTCCACCTTGGAATTCATTAGATAGTAGTATATGTTGCCTCTTAACTCTCACAAATATCAAACACTCTGCAAACTTGACCAACTTGCAAACTATTCAGGTGAGAACATGGATTCTTATTTCCAGATAGGTATGTTGGACAGCAGTCATTACCTGATACTGTCCACGATCGCCACAAGGAGAAATTTAAAGTAGACTTATGATATCAAAATTTGTATGAAGTTTCGGCGATTGATCCCACTTCTTCCGATAAACAGAGATGGGGCGTTTAGATATAAGGCCATAAGCAGCCGAAAATGCAGGAATACCATGTCATGAATTGTGACCAGTCAGGACAAACTTAACGAATGAAATTACTATTAAGAAGAAATAGTACAAAGGCATCGTCCTCATCAGAATGAAGCTCTGTTGCAAAAATGCTCGGCGCTAATGTAGAGCTCATGAGAGGTGTTAAGACCTTGGTACAAAGGATTGTACTGAAAGAAACCAAGTTGCTCTTCTCAAACTAGCTCTTCTCAAACTAGCTCTTCTATGTGACGATCTCTACGCGATGATTTGATCTTCATTTAGAAGAATCATCAATACATGGTAAGCTGCTATATATACTGTCTGTGGACAGGGGTGGTGCAGCGGGATGAAAGGGCTTAGGGTCCCTTTCATTGGTCGTAGGCTTCAAATGATGTCACCAGGAAGGACATGATCTTGTTAAGAATTGATTATCTCGTGAATGATGTCACTGACTGATGGATCTTCAGACCGGACTGCAAGTTTCATCGCAACTTGCTTTTGAGAGTCGATGCCAACTGATAGGCGGACCAAGACTTGTGTGTCACCCAAAAATCTGCCAGCCAACAAGCAAGTGTGGGACCTTGCATTGCTTGGAACAACATCTGTTGCCTGCAACCAATTACATTTCCAGTGTAAGTGCAACTATGACAACATCCCTGTCCATAAAATGAGCAAAAGGACCTCCACCAGTTTGAAGGTTGGTTGAAAATTTTACCTCACAAACTTGCATCCCCAGAATTGTTGTTACGGCTTGTACAGCATCTTGCAGACTCTCCCTCGTTCCAAGACTGTACTCATCAACACGTTCCGACTCTGAGTCCAAAGACTCCCAGGCATTTCTGAAGTTGGACACTCCTGCCTTCAGAATGTAATCTGCTGCAGTAATCTTGTACATGAAAATGGAATGAACAATGTAAGCTATTGTACTAGAATCAATTGGCCAGTTATAATTGTCAGAAAAATCACTTCAATAAAATTCGGAAAGTTGAAAGTAATCATCACCGTGCGATTCTTCCACTCAAATCTATAATCAAGAAATCAAGTTCCATGCACGTAAATGACGAAAAATCCGACACCAGCTATCCAAAAATAAGCCCACCTCCAAATCTTCAAGTTGATATTCATCTTCGTATCCATCTTCGTCAGCATCACCTGTGCTGGGATCCACCTGAGATATTTACAGAAAATCGAAACATAAGACTATGTTGTAGATTCAAGCAAGACCTGGTTCTGAAAGGAAATCAACAACCATAAACTAAGCAATTAAAGATAAAACAACTTCAAATGTGAAAAGTGCACACCTCTTTGACATAGAACCTCAGTGTACTGGAGAATTTTCCCAGCGAACAAGCTCCCTCTGGTTTCTCAAAAGCGACAAAAGCCTGGCCAGTTACTCCACAGGGCATTGATGCCAGAGGATTCGTTGCCACCTGATTAAAATCTTCTCCCTCGATGAGATCCATGGCCACATTCACCTGCATGTCAAGAAGAATATAATTTATGTCAAATTTAGTACAAGCCTCATTTCACAAGATTCATATTTCTACACGGCAACTACTAGAGGGCCTTCACATTTCAAGTCCAGTACTACATACGTCCTTGAAATGTATAATGTGTGTGTGGTACTCTTAGGGCTGAAATAGACAACAAAAGACAATGAATGGCAACGAAAAAACATAATTGACTAGCCGAAAGGTCCTTGTTAAATAAACATAATAGCATCATTGCATCTAGCTGGAATCCTCAAGACAGCAAGGAGCGTCCGGATGACAGATTAGGAGTATCACAAAACATTCAGGAGACGAGGTTGATATTCCTACTTAGATCTTCAACTGGGAACATCTAACACCAAAGATATGAAATTTAACTCCAAAGGCAAGGAAAATAGCCGAACAGTAGCTTACATTCTCAAGAAGATGCTCTGCAATCGTGTTGGTGCAGTTGAACTGTAAGACAACGTGACCAGGATACACATGCTTGACAACATTCACAGCATACTCTGTTTCTTCTTCTGTTAGCGCCACAGGAGCAGATGACTACGTACAATACAAAAATTAGGATCAGTTTAGATCCATAAACGACATAATAAGAAATCGACATGTACAAGAATCCACGTGTTGTCTCTGCAAACATAAATAAAATTTCTGTAGACTGTGAACATATAAGTTAGCAACATAAATGAAACCGCCTAATCATAGTAGACAGCGAAAACATGAGCTCGAGTATTACCTTAAAGAGTTTTCCAAAACCTGCAAACATAGGGATTGAATTGAGTAGTTTCTCGTAAGCCTCAAACGTATTTGATGCCCCACCTTCGGCTGACTTCTTACTTGCATCCTTAGCAGCCTTCTTTTCTTTACTTGTAGGAGCCTTCTTCTCCGTTTGATGACGAGGCTTTGTGTCTTTAGGAACTGCTGCCAAGTCAAATGGCCTTTCACTTGGTTCCTGCAAAACCAATTGCAAAATTAGCAGACAGGGTGTAAAAAGTTCTTTATAATGCAGAAGAAATTCACAGCACCGATGATTTTAGTTGTGGTTATACATCGTTACAATGCAAAGTTTTTAAAAACATACTGCGGAGTGTCTGCGAGAACATTGAATTATGATCAAATAAACGAGTAGTGCGCAAAAAGATCCACGTTGAACTTCGACGCTAATGAATAGTAGTAGAACTTACATAAAGCTCTAAACTCTTTTCCAAATTCTCCAAGGGCACGTCCAAATCTTGAAACAAGAAAGCTTTAGCGTCATCTTGAGCAGCGTCTGGTTCATCTGAGAGAAGACTTAAATAGAGAGTGGCTCTATCACGCACCTGCGAGAATAGCCATCGTATTCCTGAGCACACTAATCATCATCTATATTTATGATGGACTTGCAATGGGTAAACCATGGGATAGTTCGATCCTTAATTTCATTAACTTCATAACCTTAAAACCATTCTACGAACAAGAAATTTGAATACCATTAAGAAAATGCATCAAAGTCTCACTGACCACCAAGCAGATAATAAAACATAGAAACCCTTGAAGGCAGAGAGACCATTCTCATTCTCCAGATACCAACACCCATGCACTCGACAAAAATTCCACAAGGTTAATTAAGTACCTCATCATCATTATCGTACAAACACCTTCGAAGCAGTATAAGAATCCGTGGCCTCAAACCCTCAACTACGGCTCCAAATTTGGCTAAAGCACTGACAGCACTGGCACGCACTGTTGCATTCTCCAAAATCACACGGTTGTAAACATAGCGGATATATTTGCTCGGGTCTGAAGTTTTGGGCCCCTCGTTTCCTAGAAGATGCAGGATCTGCACAGAACAAAATGAAATGCTCACACTAATGGTTGAGAAATATTCCAGGGCACTTCATCCAATTTAAAAAGAAAAAACAAAGTGCTCTCATGACTCTCGTTATACAAGATGTCTTATCGGATTGAACAACGGCATAACACAATATGCAGTCGTTACTAACCTGGGTGGACAGGTAGGTAAATTCGCAATCTTCAATAAATTCGCAAAGGTGAGACAGCCCGCTTTCCTTGGCATCAGGAATCTCACGAATGAGGATAAGGATAGAGTCAACGATTGCTTTCTTGTATTCGAAACCTCCTTCCTCCCTTAAAATGTTGCTCAGGAAATTCATTCTGCAAAAACAGCAACAGCGTCATCAGGCACATACCGCACAAGAATCAATAATACATATCACACCTGTCTCATACATGTCGATAGGATTAGAAGTGCCTCAAAGTAGATTATGTCATTCGAAAAAGTTCAGAATAGCAACAGATCTCAATGATACTAGACACTAAGCGATGAGTGCTTGAGAATTAATAAGAAAAGAGCAACTGTAAATAAGCATACATCAATTCTTAGAAAATTTCTCAGAGACACTTAAATTATTATTACTAACCAAAACAAACATCTCGAGGCAAAAAATACGACAAAAGCATCCACCAGGAAATTTGCTAAGAAACGATGTACACTGGAACGGTTCTATGATTTGACACTTACAATGAACGGTATTTCTGAGGAAACTTGAGGCACAAGGAGCGGATGGCTTCCACCACCACAATCTTGTACTCATCCGCAATGTCCGACATGAAGTTCGTTATCTGCTTCATGAGACGGTCAACGCCTGACTCATTGCCAGTCTTCAAAAGGGTAGTAATGGCAAGAGTAGCAATGCTGCGGTTTTGGTCAGATATGAGACTTTCCATGTCAATGTTGCAGTTGGCAACTGCCAATGGCTGGGTCTGTGCAACCTGGAAAGACAACCCCAGGAAACCTCAAGCTTAGTGGAAGAAATGGAATAAATAGTTCTGACAGATATGAGATGTGGAGAACAGTGACTTCAATGCTCCTCGCCCGTAATAGAGTCAAAAGAACCCACAAAGAATAGTGTAAAACTTCAAAATGACAAGCATAGAACACTTGAATCTCTAGAGCCAACAAGTGAGGGGCGATCTCACAAATGACCTTAGGCAGCACGAATACACTCTATTGAAAACGACACAAAACAAATAAAAAACAAAAAATAAAAGAAGAAACTTTGCCTCACCTTGTTGAGTGTTCGCACAGCCGCAAAACGCAGAACTGGCTTGGATGAGCTCAAGAACAATTGCAATACAGTAATAGCAGGGGTGAGCTCTCTGGACGTAACCCCACTCATTTCGGTGATTGCACGAGCAGCCTCAAAGATGACCATATCCGCCTTGTGCCTCAGACAGCTCTCTAGGAAATCAAAGAATGGCCTGTCTCCAGTCTGTGAATTTGGACCTAATTCTGATATTACCTGGTATTGTACACAATTAGATCATTATAGTCAGAAAAACAGTACTTTGCTTGTGTACTGCCCAAAGACGACTTGAAGATGTGCACTAGGAGTAATTAAATGAAGGTTGCATTTCAGAGGTGGGTGTGACTCGGCAACTCCATTTAATCCAGTTAATTCAAGAGAATCATTCTCCCAAAGCACCTCATGTAAATAAGATCAGTTTACCTGGCATGTGTAGCGGATAAGCAGGCATTGAGCCAAGGGCGACCGTACGGTACCCCTACTAAGGCCACTTACCAACTTGCTCAGAGCCAACCGATCATTTTGACGGATCTGCAAATAAAACAAAGCATCATGAGCGCATCACAATGTGAGTGGCTCTTCTACAAGTGCAGCGCTTCGCAATATTATTATCGTATAGAAGGAGACCCATGAAGGAGGCCACCTAGAACTGAACAGACTACTGTGAAAATGAACAAATAACGGGGTGCTGTACGTGAGCTCTCACACCCCGTGCAGTGTCAAACTTAACATTTCAGAACCATTCCTGACGAACTTATCACCGATGGTACACAGATGTCGTTTACAAGACCGATCCTTAAAGAATGGTCCAGCTAGAGGACAAAGAATGGAGTGCTTGAAGGAGCCCTGACCTGATGAAGCAATGCCAAACCATGGAACTGAACCAGTGGTGCCTTAGACTGGACAGCCTCTTGGACTTCGTTGCTCCAGCGCTTCACAATTTCAGGATTGCTCTACAGAATTGCACATCCAAATGAACGAATAAAAATTATAGCAAGATTATCACCCACATTACTCGAACCAAGTAAAAAGTACACGTTTCACTGACCTGCAAAAATATGAAGTAGAACCATTTAATTTCAGTGCGAACACACATAGAAGAGAGGTTTACAAGGAAGCTGTTGCTTGAGACACAATGCCCAAGCAAGCTCTACAGGGAACAAAAATATCAGAATACAAATATAATCTTGCAATACAGGCCTAAGGATCTTGAAAGTTCTTGAAAGTAATAATAATCCCTCTTCAGAATAGTACCTGTAGAAGATGGATACCGCTGACAAGTGCCGCGCTGGAAACAACAGGATTCTTGTCCACGACAGCTTGCTTCAGATACCGCTCAATTTGGCCCAACAGCCCACCGTCCGTGATTCTGCACAGCACCCTTATGGCATTCGCGCGATAGAGGTCTGTCTTGCTGTTCATGTCCTTCATTAAAGAACTTGTTACAATGATTACCTGCCACAGACTTGTATAAGTCAATGCCGTACCTAACCACAACTAAAACGATTTCACTGTACTCCTCTACCATATAAAACCTTAAGAGACCGGAAGTATTGCACCAGGATCAATAATATTGCAGAATTATTCAAAAATAAAAGTTCAAACTACTGTGCTGCAACATCAAAGTGCAAGTGCAAGTCATTGTTGGAAATTCAAACCTGAAGACTACAGTCAATGAATTTTTTTCAACTTGTGCTGTGTGTCATTGCACACAATCTAAGCTAATACGGGCTTATAATCAAACTTCTACAGATGCTTAATAATAATTTGTTGACATCAAAATGTAACAACTAAGAAGATAACACCTAAAGTTTGGTTTATTTTCTGTCTAATTTATTCAGCGTTCCATAATGAACGCTATGCATTGAGTATAACGCAAACAAGATCTTACTAAAGTATACATTAAGAAATCACAAAAAGGAATAAACAGAGAGTCCCAAACTTCAAAGGAAAATCCGCTATTTTCGGAACGTGTGTTTGATTAGAAAACATTCGCAAAATTCTCCGGACAGGTTGCATAACATTTGTAAGTCTTTGAATAGGAGAGGGGGAAAAGTCAAGCCAACCTCATCACTTGACGGAGATATCTCTTTGATCATGAGGTAGACCATTCGTCGTAAGCCAATGTCCTTCGACTGGAATAGTTTGGTAGTTGCAAAGAACACATCTGTCGCCTCATTCTGCTTACAATAACTCCTCCGTCAATAATGACATCCTAGAGATATACTAAATCTTGTCGCAAATGGCATCACTGTAATGTTCTAGACTTGAACCCTACAAGCAAACATTCATTGCCATATGGAAATTACTCAAACATGCAACCCTAACTGAGCTACACTATCTCGTATTTACACTAGCGTGTCACTGTGTTTGATTAGATGCAACCACAAGAAGACTGGCAACCTAAAATTGATAGCATCGTTTTGTTCGAACCTTGGTGAAGGTTTCACCCTGGTTGATGAGGTAGAGCAGCTTCGTAATAACCTGATCGGGATTTCAACAGCGCATGGCAAACACAACTCATAGCGTGACCCGGCTAGTATGCGCCCCAACTCCGGTTTTT